AATATTTTGATACGAGTGTTAAACTGGGTGAGGATGAGTTCATGAAATTTTTGTACAATAGCTGGTACTTCATCCCTGGATTTCATGAGATAAATCCAAGTGTAACGAGAGTAGTCATCAATAAAAAGGATAAAGTAHCTGTAACCCCCCATAGTTGGCAAATGATATGGCCCCCACATGTCAGAGTGAACAATATGAAAAGGGGAAAGAGATCTTTTATTGCTTACTGAATAAGAATGTCTACTATGCTTTGCTAGTTCACACGACTCATAATGAAGACTCGATAAAGACACTCCCTTAAACATATCTGGAAACAAATGACTCAAWGYAGAAAAWGACAAATGACCAAACCGAAAGTGACATAACAAGACTTTGTTAACAGACTMTRACAAAACTGACTCTAAGGCAACTCCATGAGGTGGTCCCAAAGCTCGATCTGGTGTGTCCAACAAGTATATTCCGTTCGCCTCATGGCCACTCCCAATCATCCTCTGAGATTGCAAGTCCTGAAAAACACAATGAGTGGGAGAAAAGGTTATGCTGCAATTCATGGATTTAGTTAAGCTGTTAACAGATAAAAGGTTTGTGTTAAGTTTAGGGACATGAAGGACAGAGGATAAATAAAGGGTGTCAGAGGTCTTTATATCTTCTTTACCAGAGATGGGAGCAAGAGAACCATAAGTAAGGGATATTTTCTCTTTGCCAGAGAGAAGGTGGTATGAGCAGAAGAGATTAGATAGGCTAGTCATATGGTCTGATGCACCAGAATCAATAATCCAAGGGATTTTATGATTACCTGAAATTGAAGCATGATTTGCAGAAGCACGAATACCTGAGTGAGCAAATGCTGATGAAGATGATGTGTTGTTGCTGGAAGAGTGAGATGAAGAAACAGTAGCTTCCAAGTGATTTAGTAGCCTCCCATACTTTTCAAAATCCGCCTTCATTGCTGCCAACTGCTCAATGGTTGATTTCTCTTCACTCTCCTTATTTCCTCCTTCAGGTTCTATAGCAACATTAGCTGCCTTAGGCTTTCCTACCTGACTGCCCTTCT